AAGACTTTATAACACTTGGAATAGTTGTTGTGCATCCAGTGGTTCCAGGTATCGCAACACAGGCAACCTCCTTGGCAAGTCATCATCGACTACAGGCGTTCAAACCCTTGAACCCCAATCTGCCAAACCGGGAGCTATACCCTTATCCCGAAACTACACCACTTTCCACACCCACCTGATATGCAAAGGCTTCCATCCTGCAACCGAAACATTTCAGGGAGCCCGATACATCTTCATTCAGAAATTTAAGGTCCAGGGCTTAAGGCCTTGGAACTAGGGGTTAGCGAACGGATGTTCAAACATATTAGAGATCCTGTATCATGTGGAATATATTCCAGAATGTCCAGAATTAAGGGCATCTTGAAGTGCAGATTGGGGATGAGAGTTTCCATGCCCTCGGCTTACTGCTCAAAGAGTGAACAACAGTTGGCAGTTGTTTATTTGGTGGTGCACTGTCTTGCATGCAAAGCGGCTGCAAACACGACAAAAACAATGTAGGCCACGAAGAAGAGCGAATAACCTGGCTTTGACGGTGAATCCCCCACCCCAAATACTGAATATAAGGGATAATGTTTATATTCCTACTATACCACTATTAACGGGTGGGGGGGTCCTCTTATGCTATAGCCTATAGCTGTCAATTTCTAATGCCTAATTATATGTTTCATCCTTGCAGGCCCCCAAGCTTTGAATCTTTGCCGCATCATGAGCAAGCTTCCACTGCCAAACTAGAAGTTGACAGCAATTGGCTCGCAAGCAGCAATGCCATGATCCATCATGATCCCATGTGTAGACCAACTTCATACCAAACAACTTTAATAGCATCGACGGGGATATCTGAACAAAGCCCGAAAGCTCTCCATGGAATTCAGGTCTCGCGGACTAAGCCCTTAATCATATCAAGGTGCCAACGGCGATGTCTTCAATCACGGGTCTTGCATACATAGGCCACGACCCCGCGAATGTGATCTCAAACATAGTGTAGATCGCCTGAGCCGTTCCAACCAGAATGGGCCAAAGTTCCGGCTTCATTTTTGCCAAAATTAATTCCAACTCTTTTAATTCATCTACAAGACAAAAGCAATCTTTGCTGCCTAATGTCAACGGAGCCGACGCACAGGCGGATCAGGACATGGTTTCAAGCGTTCTTGGAAATTGGAAAACTCAACCAATGAGGCACATCCGCCCACAAATCAAATATGACCGCTAGGAAAGGCCAAATAGGCCAACCAGCTGGTTCAAAAAGACGTGAGTTTGCAACCGACACCATGTTGTCCGTTTCATGTTTTGAGGGCCAGACACGTAGACATGAAGAGGGCTGCTGCGCTGTGCTTGACGAAAGAAAGCTACAATTGTTGTGTGGAAGCCAGGAATTTCAAACGCACCGTGACAGGCCCACGGAAGGCGCAAAAAAAAACTGAGGATGTTTGTTGCGAGACCGGCTCGGATGTTCGGAGTTCGAACGAGGCTCAAGAAGGCCCTGCGCGTTTCTGATTTGGGTTTTGACAGATGACCGCTGGCGGAACTGACACCATCAGTTCTGAGCTGAAAGCGTGGAAAACCCCAAAACCGTCGTGCAAAATCCTTGTCACATACAAAAAGCATCAAAAAATCAACATGTTGCTCAACCCATGCTGTCATGTTGACAACCTGTTTTGCTGCCAGAAATTGCCACCATTAAGCTCTGCAGCGTGGGTCACACGGTGATTCATGAATCCATGTCCGCTTTTCTTCTTGGATGGTGGGATAGCAATCCTGCCAATTTTTGCACGTGCACACCTAGCTCCCTCAGCATCTCGTAGCAGCCTCTCCGTTGGGTGGGCACCCGAAGGCGGACTTCGCATTGGGGTAAACACGCATGCGGTTTTGGCAGCGGTTGTGGTGGCAACCGACAGGCTGCTGCAAAATGGCGACAAAGCACATTTGGTCTTGCGACCCTCACAGCCACATGCCAACCCTTGCCGCTCTACTCGCTCAGATACAAAGAAACCAAAGACATCGGCCGCTCCATTTTAATCGACAATATGGATGTTCCCTCAGGGCCACACAACACAACCCAGGCTGACTCCCGCGTTGGACAGGGTGTTAAAATGCGCACTGTAGGGCGTTCGTAGTCTCGGTGTCGCCTGCCAAACGCATTGCGGAGGTGCCCGTACTGGGAGCGCGGGAAGCCTATCTGCTCCTGCTGCGTAGAGACAAGGGCCCTACTTGGCGTGTGGCTCGGTCACTGCTGTCTGCGGCTGGCTCCGGAGAGGCTTGAAGCAGGGCAGTCGGCTGCAAGGGTCCAGGAATTGGCGGAACCCCCCCCCCCCCGCACAGGCTGACTCCGCCGGCATGGCGACAGGATGCACACAGGGCCACCAAATCCTAAGCAAAATGCGGCCGTGACTTCCTGGCCAACTCCAATCAACTGAAGGTACGCTGTAGCTTGCCAAGGTGAAGGCATCTGCTGTGGTCGCACCACCATCCAAAACGGCTACAAGTACCATCGCACTGACTAGCCATGGCAGCCTCAAACCGAATACATGAACCAAAAGGATAGTCATTCACCCAGTCATCAAAATGTTTCTTCATGGGTGGGCCTTGTAGTATGCGATCATTGGGCCAAGCAAACCGATCATCTATAATCCGAAAGTTCTTCCATCGTATCCACTACCGATGACGCAAGTAGGGCTTGAAAACCATCGACCTTTCGCGGTGACTGCTCTAAAATGGCAGTGCCCATAAGCTGCGGAGTCGTTGAAGGCGTGCGTCCTCATATCCATGCTCCACGACCAGAGCCACCACCGAGGCCTGCCAAAGGCTGGCGAGGGCAGACCTAGGAAGCTGCCCCATCACCAACAGGTGGCGCGGCACGTCCGCCGTCAACTGCACGAGGCCATTGCAAGACTTTCCATCCCAGAGAGCTGCCTCCCAGACTGCATCACCTCCACAAGCCAGTCTCCAGAGGCTGACACGCATGCTGTTGAGACGCATGCGCGGGTGAGAAGCAGGGCTGGTTCTAAGAAAGAATGCCAGCATTGCTCGCACGCCCGCATAATCCCACGCCTCGGCCAGGCTTAGAGGGCCTCGATCGCTCCGTACAAACGGTACCATCCAGGCCAGGCGATACAAACCAGGATTTCTAGACATCCGCCCAGGCCGGAGCCTCAAACGTTTCGATCCAGGGCCGGAAGAAGAGTAAGTTAACCCACCCCCTACCCCGTCCCAGTGCGCACGATTGGGGGGGTGCGATCGGCTCCGTTTTCGTAGGTTTTTTCAGAGGAGGGTGGGTGGTCAGCGTGGTTTTTCCGATCTCGCAACAGCGATTAAATGAGCTCGCAGTCACCCTGTCCCAGCAATGGCCATGGAAAATGTGCTTTTCTGCCAGTACCAGGACTGCTAAAGGCACGTCCCTGCCCAGATAGGCCTCAAGTGGCCACATGAGCAGGACAAAGTGAAATCTGCCCCAGCGTAGCAGTCAAGAGCGCCTCCAGCTACTTGCGCCTGCAGGAGATTATGGGCTTCTGCACCTGCAAGTTGTGGCACATTGGTCCAGAGACAAGGAATGTCCTGGCAAGAATTTGCGAGAACTCTGGATGCCTGATCAAGTTCACTGGCAGCCACCAGGACTGGAGCATTGCAATCTTTGCGACAAGGTTTGACAGACCTGTTGGCGAACGCGTCTGCCGTTCTGGAAATGACCAACACGTTCTTCTGAAACCGGTGCACCAAACATCGAGGGCGCGGAGTGTAAGCGGTCAATATGGCCTCCTTTTCTTTATCAGCTGAAGAAGAGTCCGAGAAGGCGGATCACAAAAGTTACGATGTTTTGGTGACAAACACCTGGGTACGGACATTGAGGCGCGGAGTAAACCCCTAAGTTCATCCTCCCAAGGCGTGAACTGACTAGGTGTACCCACCACTTCGGATCAGCAAACTCTGCTCGTGAAGGACTTAGTTCTGTCATGCATGCAGGAATGGTCGCAACCGGCTTTGACTATTCCTACAACCGTGATCACACTGGACTTTGGACTTCGCCATATCCCCTAGAAAAATCGCAGGAGAGCATTGGCTCACCGTTGGCTGGAGCAATGCAAGTCACGAGAACTCTTGCACAGTGGCTTTCTTAACTGGACTTGCTTGCTAAATGGTATCAGCAACAAGCTGGATGAGAGCTGTCTGGCTTGTATTGAAGCTATCAATGTTGCCGTTATGACAGTTCGGCACACTGGTTTGCCCATCCAATACAGTGTCCAATGAATAGGCCAAATTGTATTACTACAGTCCCAAGACAGTGCACGGCTTTCCCACAGCCAACATGGCAGTTGCAGCTGAGTGCAGGTCAAACGCTGTTTAAGGACTCTTACGGCGCAGGGCGTTGATTACTGGAAGCCTGTCGAAGCATTAACGGTGATACGTTAGGTTCAGCCTCTGTACACTAACGGCCAGTAAAGGGTCAGCTGTGGATAGAGAAAGGCCTAGTACAAGGCTTATCGGGGAATGTTAGTCTGTTGTTGCTGGTCCTATATGCTACATGGCAAGATGCGTCTGCATTCTTGCACTCTTCCTGCTGTCTGCAGAACGGTCAATGCCAGTCGGCTAGACTCATCAATTCTAATGCTTATCTTGTTGGTAGTTACTAGGGCATCAGGCTCAATATGATACAATCCGCATTACTGGGACCCTCAAAAAGGGATCCCTCATTTTGGCAAGCGCCCATGTGCTGGACTAAGACCTAGCCTAAGGTGGCTTGTCACAGGGAACTGAAACAAAGTTGAAAAGGATCAATGTTGGTCCGTCCTGGGCTTCGGAAAACATACAAATGTCACGTTCCCTCAACAATAATACAGGGAAGAGCAGGGAGCCCAATACCCCTTGCTTAAGTAATGCTTATAGTATCTGTAGAAGTTCACCAAATTAACACAAGTCCTACTATTGGAACCCTGGCCCCTAAAGCTAAATTCCTCAAATAAGGGGTAGTGGGCCTTCTTTGGGGGCGGCTGATACGACAAAGTCGCTCGTGAGGCGGTGCCGTAGTGGCGCCAGGTCCACAGTCGCAAATCAGCGTCCGCATCCATGTCTACCTGGTTGTGGTTTTAGGGTCCTCAAAGGGGCGAATAAAGTCTTTTTACAGTGCCTGCAGGGTTGGGGGTGTACATAAACTCCTGAAAGTTTAGGGCTTAAAGCTCGTGCTTCAGGGTTAAACGCTTAGGGTTGAGTGAGGCATCTATGTCCACCTACGCTTGCTGGAATGAAGGAATGGTTGAGGGGGTTGTTGATATTAGAGGACTTCTACCAAGATCCATTCATCCATTCCTGCTATTTGGAGTTCCATTCATAACTGCACTTATAATCCAACCATAACCATATTAGAGGACTTACTGTGCTTACGTTTGGGTTGTAAATGGGATTACAGGTAGGTTCCATGGACCTCCAAGTGACAACCCAAAAGCAAGCAAGGTTGGCCGTTCGGTTGCTTGGCTTACCATGGTTCAAGGACTCCAGGCCATTCCAGAACTCTGTCTGCCCTGGAACCCTCCCAAAAAATAGATGTCCGCTATTCATTGGGGATCATAAAGAGCAACAGCACAAATTGCGTATCAACAGCATGTCAGCTGCCGGGGCCTCTCAGAACCAGCCGGATACTCTCGGAGAATCTAAAGTATATGGGGGTTACGATGGGACCACGGCGGTCTGGGGGTACCGATTCGAAAGTTACTGCTTCCAGAAACTGACATGTTGTTGTACTTGGATGTACTTGGCTTCCAAGTCATGCAGAGGCACCGTGAAGCCGTGGAGAAGGCCACCAAGGAGGATGCCCCCAGCCACAATGAACAGCCCCAGGAAGATCATGGCCCACCTGAAAACAGTTGAGAGCATCTGAGAGCACTCGAATCTAAAGTCCAGAGCCCAAAACTGCGCAAGAAAAAAGCCCCAAACTCTAAAACCTGAACCCTGAACCCAAAACCAACCAGCCCAATCCCTCTCAATCGGACGATTACCTTGAATGATGCTAGGATCCCAAATACGATACAATATACATTCCTCTGAACAAAAGGGGTAATGGGCTCCCTGGGAACCAAGGCCAAGGATCATCAGTGAGGGAAGGAAGGCGCTGACAGAATGGACCAGCACCCGGAGTCCTTCCTCGGGCCCGGGAGCAGCTTTCAAGGCAAAAAAGTTTAAGATTTGGAGTTAACAGTTTAGGATTTAAGGTTTGGGGTTTACGGCTTGAGGTTGAGATTGAAGAATTTTGACTTCTCCGCAGTCCTGGGTGCTTTCAGACGAAATCTAAGCCACGTGAGACATCTCCAACTTTGTTTTCAATACCAGCTGTAGCACAGTAGTACAGCACCCAATCTTTATAGCACGGCAAGAGAGCCTCATCTTGAACTGTATTGCAAAGCGGATGCCTACGGCAGCTAATGTTGCTCAGCTTCTCATTTAGTTGGGCATGTTGAGATATGGGGTCTTCTTTTATCTGCCTACAAGTCGGATCATCCATATTCTAGGTACCCCCAGGAGGACCACAAGTTTTTGGACCCTTTGAGGGTATCTCAAAATTCCAAGCCCCTGCAGATCCTAGGGACATATGAATACCTTTTTTTGGTTGAACCAGGTAAGAGGAAAACACTCTTCATAACATACGACACCAAAAAGGAAAGAAAGACAGACATCATCCTGCTCTACATTGGGGAATAATATAATATCATAGCTAAAGTCCTGTTCATTCAGGGTCCTAAGGAGGATTATAAGGGTCGCCCAGAAGCGCTCAGTCGCAGTCAAGTTTGAAAAGTTCTCATGTCATCCGCACTCGCAAGACATCTGAGACTCTGATCCAAAACAACCTCTTCACAGCCGAACGTGATCTACTGAAGCTACCGCAACCAGAATATGCTTGGAGACCTGGATGTTTTTCCGCCAACCCCACCACCCGCCCTATCCGCACACGAGCCGATCTTGTCAAGGTTCCTCACCATTGAGGCCTAGATCTTGAGCTGTTTGGCGAATCTTCTTCTCAGGCACAACAGGAATAGCATAACCATAAAAGGAAAGCCTGACCAGAGACAGACAAACAGAGGGGGCGGAAGCCACTGACGGCTCAGAAACCCAAAGTCCTAAGTCCTGAAGCCAAGACATAAGGTGTGCCAGGCGTCGAACATCCGAAGCGTACGCATGATCCTGAAGGCCCTTGCCAGCTTCACCGTCCGCGCAAGCCGCATCATGGTCACGTTCACGGTAAATCTGACAGTTGCGGTTTCGGAGACTCGTTAGGGGAAGAGCTTGCGTGCCAACGCAAGAGACCCGCGCAACAGCTGCGTTTAGCCAAGAGACTCGTATTCGATCATCATGGCCTCGAGGAGAAAAAGGTCAAACATGCTGATGAGGACAAGCACGACCTTGGCAAACACTTGCACCGGAGGTCGGAAGTGGAGGAGACGCTCTGTGGCAAGCAACCAAGAAAGTCCTGCGCTACCTATACCTATGGTCGTGCAACTCTTAGACAGCAGAAAGGCAATGGACAAAAACAGAGCCCAGAAATTGTGCGGCTAACAACCCTGTCAGCGCTGCACACTTGTGGATTGAAATTTGTGTTTGCCGACGTGATTTGTTGTGCAATGGAAGGAGATGGCTTGGGAATTGCTGGGACCAAGCACCTTGTACGTGCATAAAGCCACAAAACATGCGTACTTTTTGCAAACCGAGATGCGTCAAACCAGTTCCACAGAGAGCAGAAATAGCTGCAGCGAAGGACCTGAGTCAGTAGTTGACCCGGGATGACCAGGGACCTGCATGGTCTTCAGTTGAAGGTCGGGTATGTCAAAATCCAAGATATGCTGGGCGACCCACTAGACTATGCAGTCATCCTGCAAGAATCAAAACTCAAAATCGAAACTTGATTCCAGATCCCCGAAACACAGAAGAAGGCTATTGCCACGCAATGCAGACCATCTCAAGTCCAGGGACTAAGGCTGAGGGCGCAGGGCTTGGTCAGTATGGATCACCATGGCACTTCCTATACAATTCTCTTATATCAGTCCTCATATGGTATTGCTTCATCTTGTACTGACCACCACTATGCAAAGGCAGGTGAAGGGCGAGGATACGAATGACCAGCTCAATCAGGAAGAGGATGGCAAAGCCTCACACAGGATCTGGCTTCTAGAGCGTGTACCTATAGAGACCCTTTTTTTGAGGTTGGGTTTAGGGTTTAGGGGTCTTGGGGCTTCTCCAAAGAGAGGCCAGAAGAACCTTGGGGACATATGGGGATTACAAAGAGATAGGGTCTCTAAATAGACAAGACATGTTGATTTTGCTGGGAGAGTATGCTTCGGAAAAACAATAACGACAATGAGCATTTCCGAAAGTCAGGCCATTAGCGCTAGAAGAATTCCCCTCTATTGTCCTCCCTCTTTTGAGGACCTCCAGAAAGCGACACCCAATTTGGGAAGCCATCAGCCAAATATCCAATATAGTCCTGTGCCCGCATGTTAACCCTACAATCCTCGACGACAAAGAGCTGCCCAATTTTTTGGAAACTCCAGATAAAGGTTAGCTTCAAGTCAACACTACGAAAGTCAAGGCTGCTACAAAAGATTAACATTCCGGCGGCCCAAAACTTCACTGGTTGGGAAAGCGGGCATAGGTTGTAGAGGCAAGTACAGGAAGGATTCTAGGGGACGATGGGGACCATCAAGAGGATCCATGCCTCGATTCCCAATTGATGAATTACATCCTAAAGGCAAAGCTCCCAACCCCGAACCCAATCAATCCCCAAACACAAGACACTGAGTTCTAATCCCGACAACTCAGCAAACACTTGTAGTTTCAATGTTATGTTCCTTCCCGTATTTCCCTGAAAACTCAAGGACAAGCTGGGGTGTGCCTCGCTCCAAGAGCATGAGTATCTCATTCAGCCCAGACAGGGGGTTGCCTCACTTTACAGTCTGAGGTTAAGGGTTTAGGGTTGGGTTCCCATGTCTGCCATGAGGACACCTGACAGGTGGTTCATAGGAAATGTAGGAATAGAAAAGAAAATTGAAGCCACTTCCTCCATGCCCTACCAAACGACGGTGAGGTATGCAAGGTGATACTTCTCAGGCCTGGATACTTCGCGTGGACAGCTTAGGTCACAGGTAGCAACAACAGCAATGGTAGTCGAAACAAAAACAGTAACAACGGTCATCATCTACTCGAACGTCCCCACCACCATTTTTGTTGCTTGCCAGCAAAAAATGCTACTTCCAGCAACACTACCGAGCATGCGTCAGCACTGCAACCCTAAAAAGGTGTGCCAGCCTACAGACATAACCACTGTCCGCGGGTGGTGGGGTAACTTGTGTGAGGCTTGATTTTTCATGGTTATGCCCTGTGGTTGGACACGTTAGGGATGCTCCGAATTTAGGCACTGCAGCGAGAGATTGGGCACTGCAGGGAACCTCTGGAGTTTTTCGGGTTGGGCACGGCAAGGATACTCTGAGGTTGGAGGTTGGGGCCTGGAGGGAAACGCTAGGGTAGAGCATGGCAAATAAATATTCTGGAGCGCTGCAGGGATACTTTGCTGTTAGGCACACCAGGGATGCTTGCCGGTTGAATACTTTGCGGTTCGGCACTGTGCTGAGAAGGAGGAGAACATAGACTTCTTAAAGTCGAACAACCCCAATCTGAGGGTGGGGAAGAAAAGGAAGAATAAGTAATAGTAGACAGTAGTTGCCATAGTTAGCAATACAGGGAATTCATGGCAGTAATGCGAAAGCTCAGGTAACTTCGGGGTTCCTTATATCAGCTCTTTCCAGGCAAGGCGGCATTTCTTACTTCTTCCTACAATATACCTTACACGCCAATAAAGGGAAGTGGCTATCCATCTGCCCGAGCTGGACACCAGCCTCAGGACAAAGCTCGCAAGCCCGGCGCTCAAGTTGTAATGTAGGATCCTGTATAATTGGAAGCGGGCTTTAGGGCACATAATACTCTTAGGAATTCTACATCATCCACTTCCCATCCGCTTCCCCGCTCATCCTCTAAGAAAGAGCAGCCCGAAAGCTGTAAGCAAAATAGGATCACCGCAGCGCTGAGGCTTCAGAGATAGTAGCTAAACTCCCCAGATCCCACTCGCCTGTGGCGATTCCAATGCTTTCTGACATCAATGTAGACTTGAACATGGAACAGCTTCTATGCAGAATGATCATTATTCGCCTTTATTGGGTTCGGGTAATCATAAACATGTATAATGCTTTGAAACAAGAGCAACACAGCTGAAACCTTTGTGGGCTCTGTGCCGCGGGACCTCATAACCCAAATACTCGTTCCGAATCATCATGACCTTGGCTGGTCAGTCGTGGTTGGAGGTCCCAAGAAACAGGCCAAGGTTTTCGGGTATAATATACCATACTTAGAAAGAGATTCGATATGAGGGGAATGTCCCTATATGTATATACATATTTGTACCTATATCCCTACATAACCCTAGCGTCTGGTCAGGCTTCACATCATCTGCTTCAAGGAGAGGCAGGGGGTAGGGGAGGTCCTTAAAGAGATAGTGAGCGCCTGCATTCTGTCAACTGTTAAGTCCAGTGTCTGAGCTGGAGGGGCTGCTTGAAGGTTACGATAATTCTGACCCCATGATAATTGGTACCCATAACCCAAATACAACCATATTAGGGGACTTAGGGGGGTTGTCATTAGGCTGTATGTACAGTTACAAGTGGGTAAGGATTTCCCAAATAAGCTCGAAATGTCAATGATAATGAGAGGGTCTTGGTTCCCCTGACCCCAAGAACAAGGACCCCATGACAACCACATGACTCATGTAGGGTCCTTATTATAAGGGTTGGGTTACCAGAGTTTTCTTACCATGAAAATACTTTGGAGAAACCTCAAACCCAGTTTCTGGCCTTCCTGCGAAAACAGCGGCCCTGATCTCACAGGAGCAAGACTTACAGGTGCTTCATAAGCAGTGAGGGAGGGATTGCATGAGTACCGCCATGGGGTAAGTATCTTTTCGCTCCCAAACTGCCGTCAAGCATAAGTATGGAAGAAGAAGGAAATGCAAATATCAAAACCCAAAGAACAAACTGTAGGCAGCATTGGAAATCCCAAAATGCCAGCTGGCAAAGTCATCAAAAAGGCTTTGTGCGCATGCTGCGTAAGGTGAAGACATGTGGGTGTTTCTGATCCCTTCCGGCAACTTCGGAAGATGCAGGGAGATTCCAGGGGTCCCGCTTCGGTATTCTTCAGGGATGACGTCAAAAAAAAGGGAATGACACTGACAAGTGACAACATGAAAATAGGCAAATACCCGTGATAGCAAGGATTTCTCAAAAGCATTCAAGAAGCCCAGGGTACATGTGTTGGCTACAAAGAGATTGTGGGGAGCCCTAAAGTTTAGGGCTGAGAGTAGTTTTGAGAGCTTCCATGGTCTTCTACATTCATCATGACATTCAAGTACACAAGATGACGCCTACAACTCGTGCAAGCCCAACACCACAATGACCAGAAAGAGGTCGAGCGACGATGGTGTTGATTGCGATCAGGACTCCAACAATCAAGTCCTAAGTTTTGGGTGTGGAATTGGGCGTTTGCATCTCTCAGGCAACCCTCATGGAATCTCACATCGCTTCCTGTTTACAGTCTGTGAGGGGCCCCTCTTAAGGGTTCATGTGAGGTAAGGAGAGTGCAAGCGTTTGGAGTTTGGGGCACAAGCTCTCGGATTTTTTGGACGTACTGATTCCTTCGGGAACCAAAGGTTCCAGGTGAAGCATCTACGAGGGGATTTCTCAACAATGGAGGGCACTTATCAACCCATTAGAAGTGTAAAGGAATTGTGGAGGGTCCCTGTTCGGGATATACAAATGATTCTCAGAAACCCCCACATCACAGTCGTGCCCAGCTAAAGCCAATCTTGTGAGGAATTGCTAAGGGTGTCAAGTGACACTTCAGGCGTTGCTAGGAAAGTCTGCAGCTGTCCGTGCTGTCCGAAATGCTGCTGCAGCAGCGGCCCTGTCTAAGCCTAAGGATTCAGCGCAATAACCCTAAAGCTCAAGTCCTACTTGCCCCCAATGAGGCTTGCACACGCACATAGATGAAGCTGCTACCTGAGGACCGCTTAACCTTTCGCCCTTTCAACCTCACAAAATCCCCACCAAACCCTTAGTTTCAAACTTTGCGACATAGCGGCTAGCTCCTTGAAGCCCAAGCCCTGGTCCTGACAAGCTGCTTCTCGGGATTTGGGGCTGATAATACGGTGCAGGATAAGGATTATCTAAAGGGCTCTGGTTGATAGGGCTCAGGGTTTAGATGTTGGGGGTTTTAGTGTTCCTTCTTCAGACACTGGCTTGCACTGAGGTTCTTGCATCATGTGGCATTTCAGGAAACCAAGCCCAGCTTTCAAACCCTGAACCCGGAACCCAACAGCTCCCAGATCCTGCAGAAGCTTCCGCCCGTAGTCCACGAACCTCGGCTGAGCAAGATTTCAGGCTGAACCCCAGTAACAGTTGGATAATAATTATACTATGATTATATCTAGCCCTTAATAGGACCCCTAATATAGACTGTTACTGGGGCAGTACCCAAAAGGAGGCCAACTATCCCTTCTTTGGAGAGTCGAGCTTGAATCATCTTGGGCTTCTTCATATCATTCAGGGTCCTTGGTAAAAGCTTGCCTCTTATCATTTGTATATGTTTCTTGAACAGCCCTCAAAACAGTCAGGCGATGGTCAATTCACGTCTTGCTGCAGCTGAGGCCTTGTCGTTTTCTCAGGAACTACTACTGAGAATTAGCGTTCATCCAAAAGAAGTAGAACAGTGGAGAATCAAATGGAACAGAAAGCGAAATATACTAGAAGTTGAGCTAATACACTGGCTGATAGAGACTTAATGTAGGGGGCTGGTTTTATGGGTTGAAGGAGTTGACAACAGATTCTAGGGAATGAGATTGGTACTTATCAGGCTTCTGCATTACTTCACTAGGTCAGATAATTTTGCACTGTTGGGGCGAAAAGACGTTGTGTAGGACAGACGAGCACGTAGACTATGTATGGCAGCACTCGTAGGTTTTCAACACCCGGCGCTGGGTTTTGCTGGCATCTGCTGTAATCTGCCTTCCCAGAATGTCCGCAAATCTCAAACCTTCTCCCCACATGCA